AAGATGCTGAAGAGTCAACAAATACCATACTGAGTGTAAAGTCCCACATGTTTTAAGAACATCACTGTCACTTGTTTTTTTAAGAAGGCTCATACACATTAGGAAAAACCTGTTTCACTGTGAAAAAATCTAAGCCACTGTTTGTCTAAACCCTATTCCTTTTACCTTTAAACTCCCAAAACAGTTAGTTGTCTTTGAATGTGACTGACATGTTACAGTCAGATGCACAAGCTATTAGGAAAAATTTACTGTTTCTTTCTATATCCCATTCATTATTTAAAGCTGTTGAACTTGGACCGACTTGGTGGATTGAACAGATTTTCCAACAGGTAATTGACTTCAAGAGAAGGCCTGGAATAATTCTAGTTGGCTGTTACTCTGGGAATGAGTCTCCCTCTATTAATTAATCACTCTGAGGAGAATTTTTCTTTCTGAATAAACTCATTTTTTTAAAACATATGACATTTAGCTGTATAAATAAACTCTAGAACTGTGATTTAAAATGTGTGCTAACTGTAGGCACGACATGCCATGGATAGCAGAGCCTCCTCTGCATTTTCTGGAGTGACTTTATCTTCTGATTACAAAGAAGTGGGGGCAGGGAAATGAACTGACTTGTGATTTCACCCACTTATAACCAGGATTTCTTTAATTGCATGATTGTTGCATTTAAAGATACAGTCAAGGAGACATCAGCTGTTCAACTGGAGAGGACTAAAATGTACTGAAAGACAAAAAACTGCATACCCAAAAGGGACAAAGCCTTTTCAATCAAATACATAAAAGGACACAACAAATTAGTTTTTCTAACAGAGAGATGCTCAACTGTATCAGTCCAGTGAAAGTCATTCAGACCTTTTTTAGTTTTAAAAACTGTTTTTCACAGTATGAGGTTTGGACAGATATTCTGTTCCAAATCTGGTTTTAAGATCTGAAGATATTACTACCCACATTGCTAACAGGAGGTAACAATATCCTAGTTAATTTTATCTCAACTGGATTGCTATTTCTCATCAGCAGGACTGGGTAGAAGTTTGTCTCTAATGGAGAAGCTGATTTTTAAAAAACCATCCCTCTGGTAAAACAAACACCGAGTATCTGGTAGCAGCTTCTGTCTGCAAGTCCTAAAAAAAGCCAAAGAAAATTTTTCACACAATCAGCTATAAAAAGATACAACTCATTTCTGTATCTGACTAATGGAATGGGATTAGTCCTCATTGCCCACAGAGTGCTGTGGTGGTGAGAAGTTTACACTGTGCTCCTGAAATGGAGCACACTGATGGATGGCAGATCCATTGTTTGCTGGGCCACGATGGGGTATGAGCCTCTGCTGAAGGGATGTCTGCAGATGAACCTTCTTGAAGCATTCAGTACTAGCCACAGTCACCTACTACAGGCGTTACCCTGACCCATTAAGGCCATTTTTGTCCTGACAGAGTTGTTCTGCATCAATTATTCAGAAACAACTGTAAGTGAACACTGGCTTCAGACTCACTCTGGACATTGGCTATTGCCTTTTATCCCTTTCTCTCTCTGCTGTTGACTAGTCTTAGAAAGGAACCTAAATAGCTCCCCACATCTATCCAGGATGAAATGGACTCAAGGCAACTCTACTTCAAAAACCAATTCCTGCCACTTCTACCAAAGACAAAACCACCCTCTGTCACAGCACTATTAGTACCTCATTAGAAGTCACAAAAGTCCTTTCTGTGCCTGGTACACCAGCCCACAGCAGACAGTAGAGCATCTGCTTGGCCAAGTATCCAGACCCTTTGTGGACTGGCAGACAGGGAAAGCACTTGACCCTCTGGCTACAAAGTGGGCCAGACACCATTAAAAATAGAAAGTCTCTGCCTCCTTGGGTATTAACACGATGCTCCAGAGTGTACAATTAGAACAAACATTAACATCATCACTGGTTTTCATGGCTCCCATTTTAAAGGAACGTTTTTCTAGTAACACCTCTTCAACATCTCTCCTCCATTCAGCTAGGAGGTATTAAACTGGGCCCACGCCAGGAACAACAGCAGAGCTGTCCCACCTGGCAGCCCAGAGTCTGCTCCATCACTTCCCACAAGCCTATTGAGCAGCACATCTAGGAAGAAAGCTGCAGCTGCAGCCCTGGCTTAGCTTCATTCAGAAGTTATGCACACCCCATTCCAAAACAGCCACAGCTTTATTAAAGCCCTAACTAAAAAAAAAACTAGGAAGAAAAGAGAATGAACCCCAAATTCATTAAATTCATTTAAACTTTTTCCAGTCGCTGGGGAAGCTCCAGTCTGCATGATGACTACAAAAGCAAAGCATTTAACAGCCTTGACATGCAATTTGAATGTGTCTGTACAAGACAAAAATTCAAACCTTTCCTACTCAAGCTATCAATCAAAATGAAGCTAAAATTACAGTTTAACAAGCAGGTATACATGTTTTAGTTAGCAAATGAGGCAAGCAGGGCACATTATTTTTAGTTGAAGTGATGAGGAAAAGAGTGAAAAATAGAAGGAGGAAGGAAGGAAAAATTGTCTCTCTCCATTTGGCTCAGGCTTCTGAAGTTTTAGTTAACATTAGCAGCATTTGGATACGATATGTCTCATGGCATTCAAGAAGTCTCTTAGACTGAACTATTGCTGTGCGTGTAATTGTATTTTTTTTTTAATGAGCTAGAAAAGAATTATTGAATTTTCCCCAAACTTGCCAATAAGTTGTGAACTGTTTTATTAGGTGACCCCATGGGGCCAGGATGACCATGAACCACTGTTTTTTCAAGCAGATGCTCACCAAAATCCAGTGTGCATCATAATGAATTTTCTCCTTGATTCCAAATGTTATTCAGCTGAAACCACAGAAAACTTTCATATTGCTTATGACAAAGTCTGGATCAGCAATAAGCTGATTTTCTCTCAAATTATGGAAACAATTTGCCCAAACACAGCTATAATTCATCTTCCCTAATACCATACAAAAATATGCCAGTTGCAGGATCACTAATCAGACTCTTGGGCTTGTCCCTTGGACCTGAAGTTAGCCAAGATTTGATTCTCTGCACTGGATCAGCAAAACAGCTTCCCATAACACTGGATGATGGAAGAAGGTACCTAATTTATCCTGCAGGTACAAACAAAAGTCACAAATACATTCCTACCTACCAAGGAGCTCCAGTTCCAGCAGGGTTATGGCTGTTGTTCTATGTTTTTTCTAAATGCTCTTTGGTAAAAGTATTCACCCTTCCAGCTTTAACTCTGCCCTCCACAAATATAGACCACCATGAACACAGTCACAACAATGTTAGGAAAAAATAAGTTCCTCTCAGCACTTCTTGAAATGTAGAAGACCATGACTATGGTTGCTAGAACTCTCTCTTGACCTCATCTTTCAGAACATCTTGCTCCAAAACCACAATCCTTTACTCTGGCTAAGGCATATCCATCCATATGCCTGGATAAAGCATAGCCAGCACTGAATTCAGGTCACAGAAGCTGGACATTTTTGCTAGAATTTCATTTAAACAGAACTGTCCTGGTAAACTGCTTATCATAAAAAATGTAAGGCTGACTTCTGGAAAAGTTTTGGTAGAATCCTTTTTGCCAAAGACAAGAGGTCACCACGAAATGTAAGCTGATCTTCATAGTAAAAGAACTTTCTTTTTGCTAATGTTCAGAGGGCAAGACTCAGGGATGCCACTCAATCCATTTTCAGATTAATCAGCCAAAGACAATTAGAAGGAAAGGCTAGGCTGTCTCATGATATCAGAATTTTCTGAATGCTATTCTCATTGGTTTGATGAATAAGGAAGGCGGAGGAAATCTCTTTTCATAATTCTTTCCCCATGAGGAATAATTTCCCAAAGGAATTATTTAATCATAAATTACAGCTAGTAATTCACTGAAGAGGGAAAAGAAACAAATTTTCAGTAATGAGGAATCATCTTTTTGGTCCCATCTGGGAACTGAAAGAAGCAGCTTTTTTCTATTACTATTTAACCCATCCTGGGGTGTGACTCATTAGTGCTTTCATGGCTCACCAGGATGTTTTGGTCAGTCTTTTAAGAACAGTCTGATCTGTTTTTCTGTTGTTTTTAGGGACCACATTGCATTTTCTTGCAGCTTCTAGCACTCTCCTACATGCTAGAGGTGCTTGAGGTTCAAGACTGTGCTTAGGGGATAAAAAGGTCACTCACTGAGCCAAAAGGAACAGCTATAGTGAGCTTTTGTTCCCACCAGAAAACACCTCAAAATTTTCCTTAAACCAGAAGTTTGAATTTCTGAGCAGCTGCCAGTTCATGGGTGTGAGTGGATTCAGCAGGGCAGGAGTGTTGTGCTGGAGAGGGTCTTGAGAGTTTGTTGTGCTGTGCCCCCGAGCATGGAAAAAGGCCACAAGTGAAGTTTGTGGAAAAGAAACATGGGCAGGCTGGATGGCTGGTCTGACAAGAGACTGAAGTGCAATGTGTGCAGAAGGGTCTGGGGTGGGATAAGGCCACTGTGTTTATTAACTTTGAAGGGCTTTTAACTCAGGAGGTTAGAAAATTCTGTCACAACTGGCATATGTCCTGGAAAAAACCAAACTTGTCCAACCAGTGTTAATACAAACAGCCTAAGCAATTCAGCAAGCAAACAGCATGGGTGAAACAGGAAAGTTTGAGAATGAAGTCAGAGGTAGGAGTTACTGGGAATGGAAAAGCAACATCTGAGAGCCAAGTAAACTACCTGAAATAAAGTCAAAAGGTTCCATAAAGCAAGTGTTCTGCCCCAAGCTATCCAAGCATCATATTCAAAGTGCTTCATTATCTTCTGAAACCTGGTGAGTTCACAGCCTGGTTAACAATATGACAGTGTATCTCACAGTTTAATGGCCCTTTTGCCCTGTGTTTTCTTCCTCCATAGGACAACAAAACAAGTACAAGCAGCATCTGGGCATGGAGAACAACAAAGAGGGGAAAGTGAAATGGAGAGTTTTAATAGATTGGAGAGAAGCAAGAAATGTGATGGTCAGAAAAAAGGAAATGTCTGGTGTGGAAGAAAAAACTATGACAGAAGGAGTGCAGGGTGTTGGACACATCAAGGATATCCGGAGACACGTCCTTGCAGGTGCAAAATTCACAGGTGTTGGTTGAGGGCCTGACAGCCAAGAGCTGTGTTGGTAAACTTGAATTTGGAGAGGGATCAAGCCAGGACACCGCAGTAGCAGAGAGGAGCACTCCCCCAAGCTGGCCTGTGCTGCCTCAAAGACCAATGCAGAGGCTGCCCTGGGATTTCATGACTGATTTGAGTCCTCATGGTTACAGGGAAATTCTGTTTCTAAGCTGCTCCAGATGCAAATCTTAATAGCCATTGCTGTGTGCATCTTGTCTACCACATTTATCAGCCTGGAAAATTAAGAGATGAGGAAAACAAGCAATGCCATGCTATGCTTCACTGCATCTTTCCCCCTTAACATGGAGTGCCACCAGTGCCAACCACAATGCATACAGGAAAGAAAATCTGGGCAGCAGCAACCAGACTGATTTGCACCCAGTTAAAGTACTACACTGGACACCACAAAAGCAGTTTACTAGGACTCATCACAGTTGGAAATAGATCTGTCCTTCAGGAAGCAGAGATACCACAAAAAAGCGGGGGCTTTGTTGCCTCTCTATCCATGGAGGACTTTTACTGTTGGATGCTTTCAGGCACTCCAGAATAACCAGTTTCTTTCATATGGTGAAGCCTGGTACTTCCTGCTTCCTGCTCCCATGTTATTATTTTTTTTGCCAGACTGTAACCACTTGGTTTGAATTAAACCTGATGGCCTTGCCTAAATTGTTTTTATTTTATTTTTTTTTTCACAGAATGGTTGGACTGTTTCCAAAGCAGAGGCTGTTTGTGTTTTTATGCTTACAAGATCCTGAACAAGCAACCCCAAACCCCATGCTCTGGAGAAATGACCTGGTATTTGTTTGACACGGCCTTTACATCTGAAGAGTAAAAACTCATGTAAAAAGCTACCCTTACTATGGGTAACTTGGGGGAAAAGAAAACTTGGGAAAAAGAAATTGCAAAAGAAAAATTCACCTTTAACAATTCACACAAGCTCCATAAAAGTTTCTAGCACAATTTCATATCCCCAAAACTCACCCATGTTTGGCATATTGACTTGTACTGATTTTCTGGTGAGAAAACACAGAGGAACCTAGCAGAGGTGGGGTCTGTATCCAACTGACAGCTAGGGAGAAAAGAAGGAAAGAGAGAGATTTTGCTTTCCAGAAGGTAACACTGTGATACACGCTCACACACAGTGCAGAAGTGGACCAGACGTGTATAAAATGCCTTTTACAAACACCCATAAAGCCAGTTCTGTATTTATGATATTAAGTATTACTGGTTATTAATTCTCCCTGGTTCCATGATTATTTCCAGCAACACAGGAGTTAAACAGGCAGCAACTGAGCTGAAAACAGGGACCAGTTGTTTGGATGCAAGACAATAAGCTACAGAAGGAGATGTGGCTACACAGAGAGCTCCTGTGATCTGGACTTGGAGAGAGTGTCAGGGAGAAAACAAAAGAAAAAAAATAATGAATTGTAGCACTTGGGCTTTTCAGACTTGGTAGGATCATTAACTGATGAGATTAACTTGAAGACAAAGTCCAGGCAATGACAGTATAGGTAAAGAAATGAGCTCAGAGGAACATCTAGCCAGGAAAAGGAGAAAGGAATTTGCTTTGGAGAAAGACCCTACTGGCCACGAAGCATGGACCTACTCTGGTGCCACCTTCAGACAGCTACTGCTGGAATCTGCTGAGGAGCTGCAGGCTCCTTTGCCAGCCACTGGAACAAGAAGGTCTCACATACTGCTTTTAGGGTAAGTAAAATGTCCTGAAAAAGGAGCCTGAAGAGCCTCTGACCTCCTGTAGAGATAATTGACCTATTGGCCTGCTATCCTGGGAATGTCTATCCTGAGTGCATAACTCCATGTCAAGGGAATTAGATTCATCCTGGATTAACTGCTACCTATTTTTTTCACCCACAGCTGTAGAAGGAAAATTCTGACCTCAGCTGATGGAGTGGAGAACATCACCAGTGGGCTCCTGGAGAATGCTGGTGTCTCTTCCCACCCTAGACATCTCTTTCTCCTCCTTTTTCCCTGACCCAGTGGTGACCCATCTCTTGGATAAACAGTACTTCAGTGGAGTGTGGTTACTAGGTTTGCACAACACATTGTCTAGAGAGGCATGTGCAAGTCAGAAGAAGAGAAGAACAGTATTGATAGGCTGATAATGTCCACAAAAACAGGAAGGAAGGATAGATCAATCTGTAAAAATACAGTATGTTTGGAAGTGAACTCAGTAAAAATTTCTATTTTTGGATTACTTTATCATATTCTGTGGTTTCACAGGTAAAAGTCTGCTTTTTTGCAGAAACATCCACAACAAATATTTTGATTCAATGACCATTTGTCCATGACTATTGAAAGAGGGTGGAATGATGGAGAACAATCTCATAGGAACTATGGATTTATATGGAACATAATCAAGAGAACTGCATAATAACTGATTGGCTGGCTCAATAACTGGCCAGGAAAAATAGAAAGGGGGAGGGGAGAATCTATTTCAGATTGGCCTAAAGTTATTTTCAGTTATTCCCACGAAAATGGAAGGAATAAAATCTGAAAAACTTGAGAATTTCAGTCCAGAATAGAAGCCTGGAGCTGACTTCCAAATTGCAGCTGCTGAGCAGAGCTGCAGCACTGCCAATTCTTTGACTTCTTGCCTAGTGGTAACAATATCAAAACCCATTGCTAATACAAGTCATATTTTAAACATTTGATCAGCAATTAAGCTTTGACTTCTCAAGAACTGACAAGTAATTCACGGTCTGTCCCAATAAACTTGGTGTCATTGAAAACATTCTAGGCTAACTGTACCAACAATGTTACCAGCATAGTTTCTGCCATGCCAAGAGTGATATTAAATGAAACCCATACATAATTTGGAACAAGAAACATATGTAAGTGATTTAGAGACACAATTGTTTGGGGGAGGTTTGTTTTGTTTTGTGATGTCTTTAATTACGAATCCACAGGAGATCAATGCAAGTATCAAAATCATCATAATGAAATATTTAACCTCCTAGCTGGCTCAAGAAACAGTCATGACAACAAGATGCTGTCACATCCAATCCCTGTGAAGAAACCAAATGTAAACAGACACTACATTGCTTGTCAGGCTGCAGCCTTCTCCTCTGAAACCAAATACCCATAGAGACAAGGCAGAATTAACTGGCTGTTATGATTATTTATATAAAATAACTGAATATTAAAAAGAGAGATATTTGTGCTTTACTATTTGAAGTCACTTGTCCTTCTACTGAGCTTTTCACCTGAAGATCAAAACCTTATTAAAAGCATTAGTAAATGAGGTCTCAGAGCACTCCAACATGAAAGACATCTTAAAATCTTTCACTTCTCAAGTCAGGAAGCTCAAAGAAGACAGACTAGCTCTAAAATTAATTTATTTCAACTTATATGGCATATGGGCTTCTAAAGGCTCCAACAAAAGTTCAGTACATTGTGTGGTTTTGAATTATTTTGACCCAATTCATCTCTTCCAAGGTTTTAAAAATAACAACACAATGTGCAGTTTAGAGCTGGAAAATGAAAGTATCTGCCATTAACATAGACCCATTCTTCCCGCCACCCAAGTCCTGTAGAGGGCTGAGCCTGGGACATGGGAATGCTGATATCCTGCATATTCCCTCGACCCCTATTTCTTCATCCACTCATGTTCACCTGCCTTGTACTGTAAACAATTGACAAAACTGGTCTAGAAAAATGAGACTGGAGGACTGGAAATGGCCATGCAACAAAATGACAGTTTGCTTTTGTACCTGCTACTCTAAGATCAGAAATACAACTAGAGTCTTTAGGAAGTAAGTACTTTCAGTAATGTGAATTACTGAATAAAGCTGCATTTTCTACAAAATAATGCTTCTAATCATGTCTTACTACAAAATATTTTCAATATTAATTCTGAAGTGTGACCTGCCTTTTAAAGGGTGCTGTGCACCACATGAGCAGCTGATGGCACACATGCACACACACCCCTTTGTACCCATATATGTCTTGAAGCACGCTCATGTTTTCATAGAAAGGAATGGTGATGGGACAGGAGCAATCTGGTCACAGTGTGTGAATCAGCACCACAGCAATTGTGACAGCTTCACACCTGCACAAAGACAGCAGTTCAGTGGTACCACATCACCTGTCAGTCTGCAGTCACAGCTTGGCTCTCACAAGGGAATACAGAGGGAAAATTGTGGCTGTACACATGCCCCAAGAGACATTTTTGCTTTGGCAACAAAACCTGGGTTTAGTGCTCCTCATTATGTCAAGCCTGTGGGGCAACACTGCAGAGGAGCTGTGAGCCCAGGCTCAGCTCTAAGAGCCTAAGTCTTATTCATAAAACCCAGACAAAATTAGAATCAGCAATTAAATAGAAAAACAACTTTTCCACTCACAGGACATAAATCATGTCAAAGACAAATCAGGGAAGGCCCAGGATATTCTGCTTGAAAGCATCTCTGAGACTGCTTGGCAAAAGTGTGCTCTTGCTCTGTTCTGAGCAGAGAGCTCATTCCTGAGGCTCTGGCAAGTTCACTGTCCCTGTACAGACACTGCTACCATCACTGGTATTTACAGCACACACAGGCTCCCAGGGCAGATCACCCCCTGCCCAGTACCAAGGAGGATATGACAGCCTTTCTCAGCCAGGATGCACACAGCACTGGCTTGGTCCTGCCTAGTGCTGCTCTCGACCATCACTAACTTCAGAGAAGACTGGAGGCACGCTGTTGGGCCATTTCAGTCTGAACATGTAGATCTTTAGAAGCCTCTGTCCACATACTAAGCCTCTCCTCATTGTAGCACTCACACCTTTAGGAGCCTCTTGTTCTGTGGGACACCACCTGGAAATCTTCTACTGTCTTTACCATCTCTCTACCTTCGGCTTTCCCCATTTTTTCACTAAAACCCAGTGCTAATCTTCCTTCATTCCAAGGTGACCAAGAGCTGGCTCTTTTCTTACCTTGGTTTTTGTGCAGCAGATTCTTCATGAGGAAGAGGAGAGAAGTGAGTGGAGTGCTGCAGGTGGGTGCTAAAAGGGCACCAGGTACTCTGGTGGCCCTCCATCCAATGCAATGTCTTCCTCAGTCTGTCACTGCTCAGATTTCAATACCAGATGCTTCCCTCAGCCCCTCTCTTTCCCTCTACAGTGAAGGTGGAGATCTCCTGTAGCAACAGGAGGGCTCTGCCCGGGGGTCCTGGGGAGGCAAAAGGAAACAGGAGACAGAAAATAACAAAAGGATATTCAGAAATCTCTTAAATGCCAAAGAAACAAAACACAACTGCATTGCCATGGCCTGAAGCCCACAAAACAGGGCTTTCAGTAACCAGAAGCACTGGGAATGTTCACAGGCTGCTTTTTACAAAAAAACTTTTGTGAACATTGATACTTACCTCTATTTTGATATTTTCAGGTCCTTATGTCTGAGCTGTTTCAGTGAAGAAGTATACTCCTAATACTCAGTACCAAATCAGTGCTCAAACATCTTCAGTTAAACTACTTTCAATTATTATTTTTTAAAAGGGGTGGAGAGTACAATTTTTTAATTTCCAGAATCCACTTATGTTCAGAGCAAAAACTTCAATAAAGAATAATGTTAAAGATCTTTCTTGTCCAACAGTCTCATCTAGAGTGAAAAATATCTTTCTCATGCACATCTCCATGTCTGTTCTCCACCTGGCATTACACAGGATTTGAAAACTCTGTCCAAGTTCATTGTACGTGTTGTATGACAGGTGTTTGCAGGGAAAGCCAAAATGACCTCATATGTGCCAGTCCTTCCAATAAGCACTTACACCATGTCAGCTTCAGGTGATGTTGAGTTTTATATTCTGCCAAGACACAGATGGACAG